GTCCATTGTCCTGGACGATTGCACGGAACATTATAATCGGGTGGTTAGTCGGTGCTTGAGAAATACTCTTGGCTACTTTAAAACTGCGTTGACCCTAAAAGTTTGTATGACTTAAAAATTTTTCATTTTGTGGCACATCTGAAGGTGTAAGAGCTACAATGATGTCCTCGCCTTAAAATGATTATTTTTGAACCATGATAGTCCTTAATTCCTAAAAATCATTTTTTCAATGTTTTATAGACACAATAGTGTGTGTTTTTCTAATGCTTTACTTCCAGGAAAGACCGCGGCTAAAGAGAGCAGCAACAGTTAACAAGAAGCGGCTGCGACACTTTGTTTACCGACGAAAATGGCAGGTGAGCAGTGAAAACTTGTGTGCTTTTTTTGCTTGATTTGAAAATGCAAACTTATTTACCATCCATCCCAACATTCTAGAAAGCCGTAAATGCGATCATAGCGTTGCAGAGAATGGGAGTCGTGTTGACCCATACCTCTAATAAGGAGTCAGACTATCGGAAGCTGCTCCAGGCAAAAAGCTCAAAGACTGCTGCCTTCTACCGCAAAACTTCCATTCGCGATACACCTTCCATAGTAGTTCTCGAAGGTGACGCGAAACAAAAACAGTCTTCCAGTAAACCTAGTGGAACTGCTAAGCAGTCAAATGAACAGAAAGTGCTGATCTCTTCCGCAGATGCATTAAAAACTACGCCGAACAAGCGACCTCCCCAAATTACTATCACAAATCCCTCGAAACCAGAACTGAAACCTCTGGGTCAAGAGTTGTCCAATTCACCTTTGAAAATATCTTCTACTCCAACATCACCTAAAGCACAACCACTTTCACCTTCAAGACAACCACAATCTAAACCTGTCGCTGCACCACAAAAGGCTCTTGCTAATAGCACAGTAACTAATCAAACTAAAACGGACGTTCAGCCCACTGCGCATGTAAACTTTAAACAGGCGCCTCCAAAACCATTAACGCCGCGATCCGCGCCCAAAACTGAGGCTGGAGTCATGCAGCCATCATGTGGGATTGAAAATAAACCACTGAAAGACACCACTCCACCGAGGCCTTCAAATCTTAATGCCCCAGCAGACCCAACAAAGAATTCCTGGACTCCACCATCTATGAATGAGAAATTGAGTTCACAATGCCCCACGGCTACAAGTTCTCCCCCATTAAAACCGTCTCCTCCCTCTTCACCGAAACGACCTTCCACATCACCTTCTAAGACCCCTACTAAAATCACTACCGAGACTCCTTCTTCCGGAGCAACTCCAAGCAGATCAAATTTACCGCCATCAGAACCGGTTCTCCTGAAGATGGTAACACTTTCCAAGCCGCGGGGCAGTGTTGCGGACCGGATAAGTTTTTTCAACAGCTCCTCTTCTAATCAGCAAACGAAAAGCGCCAAGAGTAAGAAGTTTTCCCTTTATAGTTAAAACATTTTGCGTGGTGTTGGCCACCCAACTTTGATGTTTTACTGCTGCTGTGCAGTTGTGAGAGCTGCCAAATGCCACACTTTCGTTTGTACATAAACACACTAATATACAGACAGAGATACAAAGAAGAACACAATTAAGCCTACCGCTGTACTTACAGCCGAGGTGTGTGTGTGTGTGTGTGTTCGAATTCCGCTTTATCCAGATGCATTACCCTTTTCCCACTGTATTACCCATCCATCTTACGAAAAAAAGCTTTTCTATTCTATCTGCATTACTTTTGACTTGCTTGAAGGTCAAAAGTCCTACGGATAAATCAGCCATTTAATCCGACTTTGGACCTTGTACAGAACTAATAATTTGGGTATAAACTATTGTCATTATGACTGTGAGGTCATTAAACCATTTATGCAAAATCGGTGACTTCAATCCTCGATGCGCACCCGAGGACAACCTCATCATGAAAGTCTAGAAGTGCTGGGAAGTCAAGTAGAGCACCCCGCCGCATTAGTAAAGGATAAATTACGGGCGACTAGGAAGTTCAACTTTAGAAGTAGCGGCTCTTTTGGCTTTTCGTGCATGGCCTTAGCAACTACTTGCTTAACGCAGCCGCTGACCTTGAATTTGACATGGCTATGATAAACAGCAGCGAGGGCGGGAAGTGGCAAGCAACTTTCTGCGGTTTCCTGTTTGCCTTCCCAAACAAGTTCGCTTGTATGAGGCTTTCAGGCAACACCTGGGGGAGGCAGCGCCTACCATTAAATCTCGTCACTGCAGCAGTTCTTGATATTCCCTTTAATGTAGTTTGGCTAAAAGGATGGACAAAAGTTATTCCAATAGTTACTGAGATTAGGCATAAGGTTTTCAGGTAAAAATCGGAGTAGATTAAGTGCTAATGATGAACTTGATTAAATTTTCACTAAAATAGCTCCTCACCCCTAACGCGTTGATTGCATTCGTTAGTGAAGCCCTGTAATAAACACAATATCATCAGCACTACAATCCAGAATGCTGCCTGGAACACATGAAAGATAAATACATTAATGGCCATGATTTATTGTATGAAAGGCTTTGAATCTGAAGTGTGTCAATGGACTTGTCTAACTGAATTATGCAATGCCTTGCTTTGCTCTCTGCGATTCCACAGACCCCTCAACAGGACATGTGACGTCTAATTAACCATTCAAATGTTTTGGAGGTGGACGTGCTGAACTAAACACACAAGCATGCATATCTATTTAACTTTTTTCCACAAAAGTTTGTTGGAGTCTTGAGGCATGGCTGTGTAGTGGACGCAGTTATGTGGTCCAACAATGCATCAATAGGAGTACTAATATGAAGAAGAGGCACATGATGACACAAACAATTTTCATTCAAAATCCGGTATTTTAATAAGGGAAATCAGTAATGGGAAAAATCAGGAATTTTGCAATAATGCAGTGTAAAATTATAGTAAACAACCTTCACCAATCAAAAGTGTCCTTCTCTTTGGTTGGAGTGTGGAACTTTGTACAAAATACTTTGAATGTAATCCTCAAAGTGGCTGAATTATGGTGTTGATGGATGCGGTAGAGACACATTTAATAGGCCTTTGAAGTGGAGAGACGAAAGTGGATTAATTACCACTACTACCCACTTTACTACGTACCGCTCAGGCCCCTAACCGAACAGTAGAGAGGCATGCGAAATACTTTTCCCTTACTTGTGGCGTAAATAAAAAATAGTTTGATAAAACAGATTTAAACCTTTAAAAGGCAATTAAGGTGATCCGCTTTTTCTGCCTTCCGACAGAACAGACTTGGGTCCCAATGCGGACGAGGTCCTAACATCACC